CAAAAGGTCGCTACTTTGGGGCAGATCCACCACATATGGACATATGTGCCTTTCTCCCCACAACCCCTCCAGCATGTGTCAGTAGTTGTTTTGCCCATGCGGTACAGCTTAACCGGGGTGGTGTACCACCTCATAAGCATTTTGTAGCATTGTTCTTGGTGTAACACGCATATGGATGCTTTTGCTGCTGCCTCCCCTATGTCCTGCCACTCACCCCCCTCTAATGTTTGTTGTAGGTCAGTTTCCCACTGTGTGACATATGCGGGGGTGTAGGTCTTATCCGCTGGTGCGCTTAGTTGTGTATAAAGGAGGGTGATGAGGCCGGCACGTGGTCCATTAGACATGCATAGTGTTTCATAGAAGGTTAGCTTGGCATTGGCGGCTGTCCGCACTTGTGCACTTCCGGCAAAATCCCGGAGTTGGATGTATCTAAAGTGATCTTTAGTGGTTAGTGGGGCTAGTGTTTTTAGGTCTTCGAAAGTTCTGAGTGTGCCTGTGTAGTATAGCTGGTGATATCGTTGCACTCCCGTGTTTTCGATGCCCCTGAAGTCCCTAGCTGTCAGGCCGGGCGGGAATGCGTTGTTGCGTAGGTATGGTGTGAGTGGTGATACTGGATGTGTTAGAGCGTATTTGTGGGCTATAGAATCCCATATCCTGATTGAGTTCAGGATTGCTGGGCAGGTTTTGGGGGTCGTCGGTCTGTCAAGTTTGGGGACCCATATCCAAAATTGCGGGAGGTCCGTGCTCATAAGCAGGGTTTCTAGGTCAACCCACCTGTGGGTATCCGGCTAATTGTGCCGATAAGTAGTAAGCGTGAAGGTTGGAAAGTCCCAGTCCCCCGCTGCTTTTGGGTGTGTACAGGGTCTGTCTCGCAATCCTGTGCCTCCTCCCGGCCCAAATAAAGTTGTCTATGGCATTTTGGAGTGGTTTGAGGTCTCCCTTGGTGACCCGTACCGGTAGTGCCTGGAAGAGGAACAGGAGGCTTGGTAGTAAGTTCATCTTTATACTGTGTAGTCTTCCTATCCACGATATGGGTTTGTCATGCCATTTAGCTAGGTCTTTCATCAGGATTGTCAACAAGCGTTTGTGATTTTCAGCGTATAGGTCGTTGGGGTTGGATGGGAGTGCGACGTCCAAGTATTTAATTGGCCGTCGGCTAAGGTTCAGGTTATAGGTTTGAGCCAGCCAATTAGTGTCTGGGTCGGATACCCCAAGGGGCATGCCCACCGATTTATCAACGTTTATCTTGTACCCCGAGATGCGTTTATACGCTTCTAATAGGTCGAGGAGGCTTGGTACAGAGTTTTTCGGGTCGGTGAGGGTAAGCCAAGACTTTAAATTCCTCCATCGCTACTCTGACGCCTTTTATCCCTGGGTGTTCCCTTATGAGTTTTAGTAAGGGTTCAAGGGCTAAGATAAATAAAAGGGGGGATAAGGGGCATCCCTGTCGCATTCCATTTTTGAGGGCAAAGAGGCGTGGTGTGTTCCAGGTATCAGTGTCTGCGCTATGGGGTTTGTGTATAGGGCGTGAACTGCATTGACAAATGTGTCTGGTAGGTGCATTTTGCGTAGTAGCATGTAAAGGTAAGGCCATAGGACCCGGTCAAACGCCTTCTCCGCATCCAGGGAGAGGATCAGAGTAGGTGTTTGCTTCCTCCAGACCCTCCATATGAGATCTGCAGCTCTCCGTGTGTTTTCATATAACTGTCTCATGGGGACAAAGCCCACTTGGTCGGTGTGTATGTATCTGGTGAGAAGTGGATTCAGTCGGTTGGCTAGCAGTTTAGCGTATGCTTTGAGGTCCAAATTTATGAGGGATATGGCCGGTAGTTGGTGATATGTGTGTTATCTCTGTCTGGTTTGTGGATAATGGTTATGTCCGCTGTTGAGAGGTCTTGGTGTGGTGTTTCTCCCTCTGTCCATTGTTTGTACATTTTAGTTAGGTGTGGTGTGAGTTCTTCTTTAAAGGTCTTATAATATGCGCTGTCAAATCCGTCAGGTCCCGGGGCCTTGTTCCCCTTGAGCCCGGCGATTGCTACTACTACTTCGGCCAGTTCTATGGGCGCTCCTAGAGGCTCTATCAGGCTTGTGGAGAGTCTCGGGAGTTGAGCCTTGTTTAGGAATGTCATGAGCTCTTCCATGTACTCATTGTTGGCTTCTCTTAGGGTAGGAGAGTGGTCGTATAGCTTGGCAAAGAATTGTGTGAACTCGTCATTGACGTCTGTGGGGTTGGTAAGGATCGTTCCTTGTTTGTTTCTGATGGCTATTAGTGAGGTCTTATTTGTTTTGGGTTGTAAGGCTTTTGCTAGGAGAGTGTCCATTTTATTGGACCTCTCATAAAATAGTCTTTTCGTGTGGCGTATGTCATTGCTGACTTCGTCAACCATCAGTTCCCTGATCAGTCATCTAATTTCATGTAGGTCTCTTGTTGTGGTTTGTGTGATTGTTTGTTTGTGTTGCAGTTCCGTTTTGTGTAGTTGCTTTTGTAATTCCATTAGCCTTTCGTATTTTTTCTTTTTATGGTGCATGGCCAGTTTTATGAGGAGGCCTCTGATCACAGGCTTATGGGCCGCCCAGAGGGTTGTTGGGGAGATGTCAGGGGTATCATTAGTTTGAAAGTAGTGTGCGATATCTTGCCTAATACTCTCCTGTATCTGTGGGTTCTTAAGGAGGAAGGCGTTCATCCACCACTTCCAGGGTGTGTGGGTCCCAGCGGTTTTTAGAGTGATCTCTATGTCTGCATGATCTGACCAGGAGATTAAGTTTATCGCGGTGGTCTTGATCCATTGCATGCCCAGCCGATTCGTGAGGAAGAGGTCTATGCGGGAGTAGGTGGCATGGGGAGCAGAGTAGAACGTGTAGTCACGCTCACTTGGGTGTTGGATTCGCCACGGATCCAACAGTCCTGTGTTAAGTATGAATTTGTGCAGAAGTTTGTCCTGTCCTCCTCCTCGGTCTGACGCCGGGCAGGGTGTCGCGTTAAGGTCCCCTCCCAGTATCAAGATTCCCCTTGGGAGGGTGTGTACCATTGTTTCGAGGTCTGTCCAGAACTCTGGTTTGGGGGAGTTTGGTGCATAGACATTCACAAGGTGGTAGGTGTTGGAGTGGAGTGTGCCCGACAGTACCACGTACCGGCCTTTCAAGTCAGTTTGTACGCTAGTGACCTGTATAGGGAATTTCTTATGTATGAGTATCTCTACTCCATTTTTTTTTTTTTTATAAGGGGCCGTGATGCGTATGCTCTTGTGTATATGTGGTCTGTTTGGCTTATTCGTGAGCTATGTGGTATGTGTGTCTCTTGCACAAATGTGATGTCGGCCTTATGGCATCGTATTTCTCTCAAAAGTAGTCTGCGTTTAGTGGGTATATTTAGCCCGTTCACGTTCAGTGAGGTTATTTTTAATTCCATGTCTCGTTGTGGAGTAGTGTGTGTCGGCTTACCCAACTTGAGACAGGTTGTCAGTCTATTCCATGTTCTTGACGGGACCCGTGCCGCCCACCCCGGCGAGTGTGTCCTCGAGGCCTAGCCTGTGCCAGGATCCGGGAGTGTGGGTAGGGTGGGTGGGAGAAGCTGGAGGGGGGAGAGGGAGGGTGGGCGGAGAGTGGGTAGAGAGGGGTAGAGATAGAAAAGTGAGAGGTTGTAGTGGGTATACAACCTAAGAAAAAGCAGATGTACAAGTTAAATATGCAAGCCAAAAAAAGTTGTGAACAATCTAGGTTCACTGTATGCTCAATATAGTAAATCAATCGGTAAATTTATCCGGGTCTTACCAGTCGCCAGGAGCTATAGGGGGTGGGCGTCCGCCGCGCCGAGGGTGTCGCCTCTAACGGGGGGAAGCTCAGCCGGTATGTACCCTAGCGAGGCTCAGATAAAGTATGAACAACCTGTGCTTTCTGGTCAATGGGTGGGGGAGGGGGGTGTCCGCCTGTTTCGTTCCTGCCTGATCTGACATTCTGCATTTTTGTCTCAGTTAAGTCTGGTGGGGGTTTTTTCATGTATGATTTTCGTGTGTGATTGTACATTCTGTGGGGGTGGGGGGGGTGGGAGGGGGTCCACGGTTATTATGTTGGGGCAGGGTTGTCGTCAGTGTCTCGAGGTCTCTACCCCTGTAATTGTGTGTCGAATTTCCTCTGTCAGTCTTTGTACGCTGTGTGCAATCAGGGGGGATGCCTGTGACATCCGTTCCCTTGTAGTTAGCTACAGGTCTGGGCTCATTTAGTTTAGTGGTCTCGTGGGGGCGTCGTGCTCCGGGGTTGTACCTGTGTGGGCTATCCCTGCTATTATATGTCTGTGTCCTCCCCTATGGTACCTGCTTGGCCTTGTGCCAGTGGAGGCGTGGCTTCTAGGGGGGACGTCACCATCGGGACGGGCCCCTCCACGTCAGTATTGTAATGTCGCTCGCCCAAGTTTAAGCGGGTGTCCCAGGTCTCGTGAACCGAAATTCCCGCTCTTTTAGTAGTTGCACTATTAAGCTGATAAGGCAGTTAAGTGCATTGATTGTGCGTCCTAAATGTGGTATGCGTCATTTTCCCACATCCTTCCCCTTCCACACATAACATGCAGCTCAATGGGTATAATCACATTTAAGTGTGTTTTTTTTGGGGGGGGGCCCCCCACCCCTCTGTAGGCAACCTTTCATCTTCTATATCATAGTTACAGGCAGTAATGGTAATCTCTTTCCCATATAGATACAGTATAATGTGATACAAGCGTGGTGTTTAGCGGGTATGCGTGTGGTAAGCTCCTATTTTCAGGTGCGGTTAGGCATTATTGCCTATGTGCAACCCCCCTTCTTCCCAGGTTTTGGTGGTCAGTAGGCCTATGGTACCTCTGTTTCCCTCCCCTTGAGCCCCAGTGGTAACACAATAAGCATTATATTAATAGTAACTCCATGCCAATAGGCACCAACTTAAAGCAACAACGTAGAAGTAAACAAATAGAGTGTTAGTTAACGTGTGTAAGTTAGGGTTTGTAAAATACATTACTATATGTCCACGTTTCAGGCCGGTCGGGAGTTGTGGTCCTCCCAGCTCTCAGGTAAAGGTGGCAGTTCTGCCGGCAATTGCAAGTCATCCAGAACCGTTATATCCAAGTCCTTCATAAAGTCTCGGATGTTTGTAGTGGGTAGCAATATTGCTAGTGTAGGGCCTTGGAAGACTATGATCTTGAAGGTGTAGCCCCATGAAAATCGAATCCCTTTCTGCCGCAGTAGATCCGTAACTGGTTTCCATGCCCGTCTGCGAAGGAGTGTTGCTGGAGCGATGTCCTGGTACAGTTGAATTTCAGCCCCTTCATGTTTGAATGGTCGCATTCTGCTGTGCCTTAGGATGGCTCCTTCGTTGTGAAGTAGGGCCATTTCATAATGACATCCCTTGGTGGGCTGGTCTTCAGGCCTCTGGCCCTTAGGGCTCTGTGTGCTCTATTAACCAGCCATAGGTGGTCTGGTAAGTTTGGCAGGCTTTGGCGAAAGCATTGTATAAGCACAGATTCTATGTCTTCCTCCTTCACTGTTTCTGGCAGGCCTCTTATACACAGATTGTTACGTCGCGATCTGTTGGAGATGTCCTCCAGTTCTATCTCCAAGTCAGTGATTTTTTGCTGGAGGGTATTGGTAAGTTTTGCGGTGTCATTTTGTGCTGTGACCATCCGTGCCACCCTGGGTTCCGTTTCCGTTGTGCGGGCCCCAATGGCGGCAATTTTGGCCTTCACCTCCGCCGCTGTGTGCTTAATTTCTGACGCCAGGTATGACTTCACTTCTGCAAGCGACTGGAGGGTGGCGCGGTTAGAGGCTTCAGGGGCTTTGCTTGCGGCGGCGTCCAGGGAGCCTGTATTACTGAGACTTGTGTCGGCCACAGTGCCACATGGCGACGGCCTCTGAGTCGTGAGCATTTCTGCCACTGATAGAGCCTCCTTGGGGCCTTTTTTGGTGGGTTTGCGGCTGGACATCCGTGGTAGGTTAAACCGGTCAGCCTGGGGAATGCTAGGGTCGGGTTTATGTGCTTCTGTTGTAAGTTGTTGCAGGTTACAGTGCAATTTCGTGAGCTTCTGGTACGGAGCTCTGACTTTAGGCAGCCATCACAGTCGGCAGTCAGACCACGCCCCCAAAAGTGCCAAATTTTATAGAAATTGGCGCTTATGTTATTAAGGGCCAAATCACCTCCCTGGCGATTTTCTTCCATGTCTGTTAGCTCCAGAATGTTAATGGAAGCAGCCTACATGCTTGGATAGTGCTCCCCTGCCTTTCCCTTTCTCAATAAACGGCATTACAGCACATTGAGAAGCATAGTAAAGTTATGATCAGGTGAGAAGTACACATGCTTCTCGCTGAGAAGTCTGTGATTAGTGTGTTTCCCGGCAAGGACTTAAAGTGTGGGCTGGGTTAAAGTGGAGAAGACTTGCAAAGACTGCAGACACTAGGCATGTAGCTTTTGCAATTTTGTTTTCATTTACTCCGAGGGAAAACCTGCAGAAAAAAAAAACCGCAGGTTTTATTGTTAAAAAACTAATCAATGGAGTATTTCTTTAAGGTGGCTATTGTTTTTTTATTGGTTGATACACGTCATTCTGTAAAAACTAAAGTATACGACTATAAAAAAAAAATGAAATACCTCAGAAATGCAATCCGTACACTTCTTGACTATTACCCATCTTTGTGCTACTAGTAAATGGGTGTTACTGTCTATGTTCATGTATGTTCATGTATTTGCCATAAAACATTTTACAATGGCATTTACTATTTTTCCTTTCAACTACATTCATATGCAGAAGTTGGTGTTACTCTGCAGTGACACCAGTTTATGACCCTCCGGGAGGCATAACCACCTAGCGAAGCTAGAGAAATATTTTGCCATGCTAAAAACGCTCGTGCTTTGCTCCTGCACAGCAACAATGTTTCTAGCCAATCAGGTGATCAGGACAGCCATGCCATGCAGCTCATGGCAGCCCTGATCACCTCAGATTTTAAAATGGCAATGTTAATGGAGGACTCCATTTCTATGCCTGCCACAGATATGGTGGTTGTCTCTCCTAGACACAGCCCCATCAACGCTAAAAGGCTCCACAAGAGAGCCTTACTTGCCAGGGACCTATCTTCTGAGGAGGATAAGGTCCCAGTCATGTGTAAAAGAAAAAAGAAGGGTTGCCTTTAATCTTCTTCAAATTCTGATGATGAATACGATTTTGGTCCCTCTTCCCCTCACTCTCGTTTAAGTAGCCGACGATTTAAAGGGACAGTGCCTCCAAAAGCTAAACGTGTGTTTCCCTCGTTTGAGGTTTCTAAGCAGTTTTCAAACAAAAAGGACAAAACTTGTTTGAGTGCTGTAAGTTCCTCACCGTCCACCTCAAGAGTGTTTGCTCATTCATCCTCCCTAAGCCGGTCCAGACAGGGATCACCTGAGTTTGATTGGGAGTCTGAGGAGGTGGTTCGATCTGCAGCTTGCAGCTTAGGTAAAGTGCTCCCTTTAAAATTGTTCCATTCCAGAAGTCAGGGATTTTGCATAACTCGCTTTCAGATTCGGTCTTTAGAAACCATATTGGTATCCCTGATATTCAGGCACTAATGGCTCCTGAAATTGATCCAGCACTGTTATCCATTACAGGAAGCAGTGTTTCTGCGGATCCCATGGATCAGACATTTCGCAATATACAGTTCAAAATAGCAGATGCTGTTGGCCCCCTTCTGCTTATGTTAGATAAGGCAGAAAGGGAGAGATCCTCTCATAACCAGCCACCTACTTGGACTATTGTCCCTTCTTTTGGATTGTGGACTTAGCTGGTTCGGTAATTGAGGTCCACCGAACAGATTATAAGTGTGGTGTTCGTATACCGAACAAGCTCCCGAACAGTTGGACCACCCCGGGGAGTTGTGTGCTACCAGTTGACTGTATTGACCTTGTTAACTGCAACATTCTAATCTGTCGGCTGGGTGGCCATCATTCGTATGTGCGAACACGTAGTGGTGGCCATCTTTAGTCGCGAATGCCTACAGCGGTGTTTGGTCATTGAGTGCATGGAACTCAAATCGGACACTCGAAGGTGCGAACACCACTGGAACTTCCACCTCCACCTCCATCGAAGTTCGGGAAAATGTATATGAACTGAAGGGGTTCGGTGGGAGCATATTCCCGAACGAGGGGCACACTACCAGCTTACGTACTTAACTGTAATTTTTATTGTATTTTGTACCCCCGAAGGAGACCGACTGATCAGCCTGAATCTATGAAACTCTTTTGGGCAGGTGCCTCGCATGCGGTCGTTCTAAATTTTACGCCTGTGGTGTTTTGGTTGCATTTGTGGGATCCGAGCGCTTTCTGGATATGTTGGGCACTCAGATCCAGGCTATCCAGGGATATAGGACTTGAGGGGGTACCTCGTTGTTAATGTATGTTTTTGGGTTTTCATTAATGTGTATGTCCTGGACTTGAGAGTTAATGTAATTATGTGTACTTTATAACAGTCTCCTCCAGTGGGGAAATGCCCCATGAAGACACATAGGGAGACACATAAAAGGCTGTGTATGGCTCCCATTAAACAAGTATATAGGGCTGTATATAAGAAATACCCCTCTCTGTCTCACCAGAGGCTCAGGGAAGCAAGGTAAAAGGTCAGTGTAGGACCTGCCTAGGGGGGGTCTGTCTTGATGTTGGCAGGCGGGCCTTCCCTCCAATGGCCATTGGAGTAACTAAATGACCTCCATTTGTTTAAATATACATAAGGATTTAGGAGAGAGCACAGGTAACTTTTTCTTTGGTTTTCCCATTAAACAGTTGACTCCCAGAACTGTGTGTCGGACAGTTACTGGGGGATTGGGATTATTCTGCTGAACAACGCTTTCTTTCATACTTTACAGAACACCAGTGGAGATATTGGTTTTATTATTACAGCTCCGCTACACCTTCTAGAACAGCTTTATTGGCTTCTAAGACGGCAGAGCTGTGCCTATTATTGTTCAATCATTCAATTATATTTCTAACATTCACAGAACCTGCTGGCTGCACACGGCAGGGATGTCTGACTTGGCCCCTAAATCCAACGAGTTTCCTAATTTAGAAGACTCCTTTCTGTTTTAGCTCTTCTTTTATACAAGAGGTGAAAGGAAGATATAAGGCTAGGAGATCTTTCTCGGATTTAAAGAAGAGCTTTCCAAGTGTGACAGAACCATCTGTCTGTTTATTGCAGGTGGATTTGTCTGTTTCTGCCCCGTTCGTGTAAATGGCTGTTTTCTATAGCCCAGCCATACGAATGACCGTTTTTCCCGAACAAAACTACCGAACGGATGGCCACCCAGGAGAGAAGTGTGCTGCTGGTTAACCTATTGATCCCAATTAGAACGTTGTGGTTAAGCGCAGACACTTCTCAATTAAACCGAATTCAGGGTGGTCGTCGTTCGTATGTCGACCACGAGGCAGCGGCCATTTAAAAACACGCGAAAGCCCAGCGGTGTTCGGCTCAATTTTCATGGAACTAAAAACGGACACTTTTTCTGCCGAACACCGCTGAAACAACGGAACGCCTGGCTGCCTCCACGAAAGCGTACGAACACCGGCCGTTCGGGAGTTTTGAAACACACGAAAGGACTTAACCCAGATAGCCTTCCCATGGAGTCAATCGCATACCGAAAGACTGTAAGAAATTTGACTCCATGGCGATTGAACTATGTGTGTGGGATCTGAGCGCTATTCGCCAATAATATGCACTCAGATCCAGGCTATCTGGGGATATGTGATACAAATGGGAAATGTTCGGTTATTGTAAAATTATATATTTTTAAGTCTTTTCTGGTTTTATATTCAAGATGGGGATTGTCTTTGTCCTGGAGATAATTGCATTACTTCTCAATTATCTCCAGGGCAGAGGGGAGGAAACCATAGTGCATTGTGGGTAAAAGCTGTGACTGTATGTCTGGAATGTCTTTATGTCCATCTGTAATTCCAGTCTCCCATTTGGTCCCATAGGGGAGTGTCCACCAAGTGGGAGACCTGCATAAATACGGGCAGGTAGCCCACAGTAAAGCCAGATCCTGTTTGACCCTCAATGCGGAGCTTCTGTCTCGTTATTGGGGGGATTTCTTCTTTGCGCTTAGAGACTGCTGGATGGAACCGAAAGCCGCTTGGTGGATATCGTTGTTCGGCTGCTAGCAGCAGTTCGTGGATTTCCGTTCGGGAGTTTGGAGCCTTTCACGGATCCCGTTCGGGAGATTACTACTTCCCCTGGTATTGGTTCATGGATTATAATTAATACGAACGGTTTACGGAATTGCGAAAGGGGAAGGTGAACTAAACGGCGGTTTCCCTTAAAGACACTAGAGGTGTCTTAACAATTGGTGGCAAGCGACGGGATGAATCCCACAGCACAGGAGGTCAGCTACACATCCCAACTGAGCAAAGGAAATGCAGTATGAGGAGTTAAGACGTGCTACTCTTAAGGACATACTGGAACGCCGAGGACGGTCAGCAAGCAACTTAAAGAAACGTGAGATTATTGCTTTGCTGGTAGAAATGGATGCGACAACGGGAATGGAGAGAGCTAATGTGCCCAGCATTTTGGATTTAACCGGGCAGTGCAAATAAGGCTGGCACACTTTGGCCCCAACCCCTCAGCAGACATCGTGGAGCGTGTGCAGGCAGCAGTGATGGCACACCAAGCGCTCCAGGAAAGAGGAGCTGCAGCAGTAGAGGTACCCAATAACAATTTTGGTAGAAAAAAGGTACCCTTTGCTGCATTTAAAAATTTTGTGGAAACAGAGGGAGAGATTGATGGGTTCCTGGCCGATTTTGAGAGGCAGTGTGCCCTACACCAGGTACCCGCAGATGAATGGGTCACCATCCTCTCTGGGAAAGCTAGTAAAGCGTTTCGGGCCATCCCAGAGGAGGAAATCATCAGCTACCGGGCTGTGAAAGATGCGCTCCTAGCCAGGTATGCAGTGACCCCAGAAGCGTACAGAAGGC